TAAACAGGAACCTTCTTGAAATAACTGGTCTAGACACCCAAGGCTAGATCAATAGATAGTAGTCAGGAAATCTGTGCTGGGACAAACAACTATGTGAAACCCCAGTCATATGACAAAAAGGGGGTTGGGGAGAGAATTTGTTAAACCTATGAAATCTGTGCTCCGTTTTCTAAATTCCTATCTTCGCTAAAAGCTATTTTATTGGGCCTTGTATTCTTATACCTGAATGAGCATAAGCGTTTAGGGTTTTTTTGTTAATGTAGTTGAAGAATTTTTCTCATTTGGTTTTAAAGTACAGGCTTTAATGTTGTTTTTAAATCTTTTTTAAAACTTTGAAAAAAATAATCTAGGACTTCCCATAAATGAAAGGAAAGCACCTGCATATTACCCATTACCATAGCCAGAAAAAAATGTCCCAGATTTAATTAATCCACTCATTAAAGTTAATAGCAAAAACGTCCTTATATGAAGTTGGAAGCATTTCTTACAAATCATTTTCAAACAGGGCATAGTTCCATTCTAAAAATTATGCAATAACATCCAAATATTAAAAAGAACATAATAAGCAATGAAAACAATTCAATGAAATTTTGGGAAAGTGGATTCATTGTAATAACGTACAACTAAAAATGTCTTCAGTCCACTCCTGGATTCTGTCTGCGTATATTTCTCATTTTGGGAAGTTCTGAACATTTTGGGAACTTCTGAACTGTTTTTTTGTAATTTGGTGGTTAAAAGAAGTTTCAAGACAATGCTTTGATTGGCAATCTCACTGCCTCAATCAAGGACTTTTATAGCAATGCTTTGTACAGCTCAAAAATGTTTTGGAAGAAGATCTTCTGACCTAACCCAAGCACACAGTCTTCCTATTATTAACTAAAGCAGCCACATCTCTTTTTCCAGCTTCCAGGTGAACCTTCAAAAAGATGCTATTGCTTTAATAATTGCATGGAAGCTGAAAACAAGACATGTCTGCTTTAATTAGTGCCAGGAAGATGCTGTAAATGTGAAATCAAACACATTTCTTTCTAACATTTTTTAAAGAATGCACAGGTATGTTTTATAGCAATCCAGGTATTGTTCAACCAAGATTCCTACATATATTTCATTTCCAAGGAAAATTCATTACAAAGGGGAAGACTGAACCACTACTCAGCACTTTTGGATAGTACAAGCAACTTTTCATCTGAGACTGATGAAGAGATCCTAAGAGGCTGATTTAAGAGTTAAGAAGTCCTTGGTTCAAATTGATTTTAATTTGATTTCTACAGCCACCCAACTCTCAAAAGCAATTCTAGGTGGCTTACAATTCAGTGGAAGCATTAAAAAGAAAGAAAGACATGAGATGCAAAAGACAACAAAAGAAGACAATAATGCAATAATGCAATAATAAAATAAAAAGAATAAAAAAGTCAAAATGAGAGGATAATAGAATTAAAGGCCATCGTTGTATAGAACATGGGTGTCAAACTCGAAACATCACGTTGCCGTCATGTGACGCATCATGACATATTTCCCCTTCGTGGAGCTGGGATGGGTGTGACCTGCACATGATGCATCCGTCCCACTGGCCGCCAGTTTGACACCATGGTATAGAACATTCAGAAATCATTCTGGATAAATTCATCTTTCTATCATACATTTGCCAGTACAGAGACACACATCTTTTCCTGCATCAAAGATTGTCTTTGGCAACTACCAATACTGTAACTGTGCTTCCCAAAACTGTGGGCAAATTCAAGACAAAATGGAAAGTTCATTTTATTTCATTTTCATTTAATTTAAGCCTTAAAATAGATACTATGATTACAATGTTATGTATTGAAAAGCACACACGAGATATAACCATGCGATACATGGAAAAATAATTGGCAATATTTTGAGGTTTCTGGAGGCTTCAGAAGTGTTAACTCAAGAGAGCCTTCAATCCTTAGCAACTTGTTGCATTTCAGATACAATAGACTGTCTCTTTTCTAATTAACATAATCTTGTTGTCTGGAAGTGATAGAAGTTGCAATCCAACACATCTGGGGAAAATAGCTTGGAGAAAAACCAATATATTACATATTTCCCTCTCTTTCCAGAGAAGTGAAGAAATTCAGAGTTAGTGCTAAAACATTTATTTTCTTGAATGAGTGGGAATATTGGACACTTGATATATCTTTGTAATAAGCAAAGTGTTTCTTTAACATCTGCAAGCAGAACTTTCTGATAACAAAATGGTCCATAGCAATAGCATAAAGGATTAATTTTGAATCAGAGAGCAATGGTTACTCATTTGTCAAGCTATTTCATCCTAGTTCACTCCTGCTGAAAATGTTATGCTTGTCCTTCTCTCTACCCAAACCCAGATCCAATCCTTAGCTATTTCTCAATGTATCCAGAAAAAAGCTTTGACTATCAGCAGTTTCCCTTCCTAACTGGCTCAGTTTTATAATTGACTTGTTTTGCAAAGAAAAATATCTTCAATTTAAGCTTTCCACAGATCTAAGTAAATAAAATTTGTTAATATCTATGGAATAAATTTTTATTTTCATTGCTATGATCTTACCAGGCAGATACAGATCCATTTCAAACTCTGAAGGATGTCACATTTCCAAGGTTGGAATGAAATTTCAAGATAGTAATATTAAATCATAATTTTGGCCAAAATGGTTTAGACATTGTATTTTAGCACTTCCAAACAGTAATAAGCTAAGGTGAAGCAGTTTTGGCTTTTTTTTTTTAAAGTCTGTATGTATTTTCCTTGACAAATAAATGCAAGATATGATGGGGAAAACATAGGAAACTTACAAATGGAGAATGGCTTAGTCACCTCTGTAAAGAAAGCAGGATAAATAAATAAATAAATAAACCCCTCTAGAAGCCATGGCTCTTCTAAAGGACAGGAGTCTTTATATATTAATCATAATGCCGTTCCCCAAAATAATCATCAGTTGTGCTATTAGTAATTCACAGTATATGATGATCAAAGATGGGATGGAAGGGGATGGTTGATAAAATAATAAATTAACCAGTTTCATTTTTGTATCATTCTTTTACACACAACTTTCTATCCATTGCACATGGCTGTGTGAATTATTAAAACTTTTGATGTTCTGCTAATTTATAATCAAGCCAAGTACTGGCTGACTGAGAACATCCCACAAGCTCTCGCCAAGTTTGAATGTTCCTTTAGCACAAAAATCCTGTTGTAGTTTACATTAAGGGAGCCTAATTTCCCTCCAATCTGGATACTCTCCAGATATACTGTATGTATCTGGGGGATCAGAATTATCTTACTCCTCCTGAACAGTGATGGGATTCAATATTTTTTACTACCAGTTCTGTGGGCGTGGCTTGGTGGGCGTGGCAGGGGAAGGATACTGTAAAACTCTCCAGTCAGAGGTGGTATTTGGCGGTTCTGTGAACTACTCAACATTTCTACCAGTTTTCCAGAACTGGTCAGAACCTGCTGAATACTACCTCCACTCCTGATACTCAGTAATAAGAGATGAGCCAGATAATTGGAAGACACCCAGATTAGGAAAAGCTGCCATGCTGGTTGGCAAGTTGTCCTATTGTCAAAAGGAAATGTAAAGTCTATGCAGTCTTGTGAGCTTTGCAGCTTTGTCTTAAACAGCTGCATAGTATAAATGACATTTATGGAGTTGAATGAAGCAGTTTTGACTTGTGGGTAATTTAAAGAAAGGTTTCGCTTATTGGCTTCCTATTTACTTTGCAGTTTTATTAAAGCCACGAGAACCCCATGAGCTTTTCTCCCTATAGGTATCTTTCTTGAGGGAGCCCTTTTCACTAAAGGTCATTTTCCTTGAATCTTTTGAGAGGCCTAAAAAGTCTATTAGAGAAATTTAAGTTTTTTTTTTAAAAAAAAAATCTAACTATAGATGTTGCTTTGTAAGAAATTCCAAGCTTTAAGATTTATTTTAAAAAAAAAGTTAATCCCATGTACATGAAACTTCCTGTGGAAATCTGCAGGATTTCCACACAATTGCTCTAGCAACACTGTCCCTTGGAAAGTCAGTTGCAAATATTAACCACCCTTGCTAACCTCACAACTCCTAGTTGTCATTCAAAAAGCCAGAAAATAGCTGTTTGTAAGCTGTGTGTGTCTGGAGCTCCAGATTCATACATGCTTGCCTGCCTGCCTGCCTGACCTCTTTATGAGTGGCAGCGTGGATTGTCCCTCTGACATCTACTCCTGCTTCTCTTCCCCCACCAAGTTGGCTAGTAACCCATAAATGTTCTGCACCCTTCTGATTCAGCAGAATTCCACAGGGGTGCTTATTAACACATGGGGGAAGGGGAAAAGGGCTCTGTAATTGTTAAGACATGAATTTAGGCAAAAGGCAAATGGGATTTGATGGTGTGGAAAGACAATCCCTGTTTACTAAAGTCTGACAAAATACAGGCTGGGGAGGGAAGGGGGATCATCTCCTTTTGGAAGTAGTCAAAAAGCAAATATATCCTCAGGTCATGGAAAAGGGGCAGGAACAAAATATTGACTTTACAGGGGGACAGGGGAAAAAATCATCCTTTAAAACACATACAAACCGTTTAAACATAGATGGCTAGATTCAGCACAAGATCTTAAAACAGCAAGCTGGTTGAAAATTTTGCTTGACAGCTTTTGGTGTCATTTCTTGCTGTGGTGAGCAAGTCATGCAGTAAACTATTTTCTGTTAATTTTTTCATCTGAGATAACTTGGCCAAGAAATGATTAGCACAAAAGTAAGTTTGCCCTAATCTGAAGAGAATAGGAAGGGATGAAGAGTGAGAAAGCTGTACTGAAGTTATCTGTTAACTACATCAAGTGCCTCCGATTGGAAGAGTTCGTTCTTCCTATCTCTTTGGCTTTCAGTACCCTGCCCCCTTCACATTGTCTTGTCTTTTTTTAATCTTAAGGTATGGCCCAAAATGACTACTTCAAGCACAATAGAGGTTTTCATCTTTTTCCTTTGAAATAGAGCTGTGAAAGCAGGCGTCGGGAATCTTCCTACCTGCTTTGTTACTGGCAATCAGAAGAAATCCTCTTCCCCAACGCTTGACTTTGAAGTCACACAAGTAACCAGAATCCATTCTTTCAAAGTGCACAGCAGCAGTTCAGGCCGAGACAAGCTGATTTGCAATCTACCCAGCAGTTCCAAACCCTGAATGTCAGAGCCTGGGGAAAAGCATAACTAGGTTGTCACTTGGAATGGAGTTTGGTCAGTGGTCGGAGATCTATATTCTCAGATAGATAGGACTTTGTCCACAAACTGGAATTTGAAATTTCAACGGGGGGGAAAAAACAGAAGGGATGGTTTGAGAGATGATTGTGCTGGCGTGGATTCCCCTAGGACTTTAGTTCTCAGTCTTGTAACACAGGACTGTGCCACAGCTGGCATACCTATCACATGGCCTGGGAAATGGAACAGTAATAGGCTGCTACGGTGTTCTGTCTTTTGAGAATTACGACAGGTCATGCACTCATCTCTATGAAAAGAAGAAATCCAAATGATTTTAAAGCAAGGAAGGCCTCACGGTAAGCCATACTTTTAGGCATAGAAAGTGGCTACCAGCAGCAGGGGAGACGTTAGAAGATTAGAGTTGGATATGCCTTAATACTTGAACCTTTGTTGCCTTCAGATGCAGTGGGGCATTCTCCGGACATGCCTTACAATTAAGACAGGATAAGACAGCTGCTTCAGTTAGCAAACCTGCATGGATGGCTACTACTTCATTAGTCCTAAGCATGCAGCTTTTGAAGATCGGCTTTTACTTGTCTCGACCCTGTATGTGTGACACAAAGGGTTCCTCAGAGAGATGCATGTTGGGATTATAAAACCATCTACTGCCCTAGGCTGCTTCTACATCTACTTGTCTCTATGTTGCTTTGAGCAGGGAGTTTGTGGGGAATTGGAGAAATCATGGTGGGTCACTTCGGTTGCAAGGGCTAGCAAAGGAAGTAGGAAAATCCCAGAGGGCCAGAAGATGGAATGGGGCAGGAGTTCCTGTCAGAGAAGAAAAATATCTGCCTGTAGTTCCATAGTAAACATGGAAAATCTGTTGTTCAAATATTGGATTGTGCTGAAATGAGTAAATTGACATTTGAAATTAGAGAACAAGAAGATAAACAATTTTATGAAGTTTGGGATTTTTTTTATCAATGGTTAGATAATAAAACATAATAATAGAACATTCAGACTTAGCATAATTTTTTTTTTTTTTTGATATTATCTTTATAAAACATTACCAAGATAGATTTGGTATGATCTTATGATTTATTGCAAAATAAATTAAGTAAACTATAGTTATCTCATTAAAGTATGACTTAATAAAATTATAGATAAATGATTTTTTAGTGATGATATTAGGTTATACAATTATTGATTGATAATATGACCTATTATGTAATATAATTATATTAGTGACTAGGAAATGGATGCACAAAAAAAGTGGTAAACCAACCGATGCACTGTTTGTAAATTTATGAAGAAGGATGATGTTTTTATGTTTTATGTGGTATGTCTATGTTGTTTTGTTGTTAAAATAAAAAACTTTTTAAAAAAAAGAAAATCTGTTGTTGTAGCTTTTCTTCTGAAGTAGGAGGTGAGCCAATGGTTAATAATCTCAGCTTCCCAGAACCCATGCAAGTTCCATAAAGTTGTGGAGAAAAGAACATGTGTTATTCTCCCTTCCATGCAGCCCTGCCGTTTACAAGAGGCCTTAATATTGTTTTCTTCTCTGAGCACTCCTGAGATGTGGAGTTTAGTCTTTTAAAGATGTTTTTATCTTGTATTCTGTATCAGAGGATGTAACAGGAATATTTTTTTAAAAGTAGAAAATATAGACAAGCTCCATGCTTGTTTGTTTATATATTTATTTATTTATTTATTTATCAAATTTAGCAACTGCACATCTCTCTCTCAGAGGAACACGGGCAATGTACAAATAAAATATTGAAACTTAAAAACTGTACATAAAATTTAAAAAGAGGCAAAGACGGTTAAACTTACTGGTAATTAATTTAAAAAAGACTAAGGGAGGGCCTTCGGGATGCTAACCAGGGGTGGGATTCTACAGGTTTACACCTATTCGCTAGAACCAATCGTTAACATTCTGAACAGTTTGGAGAACCAGTTGTTAGAAGAAATTACTGGCCTAATCCTGTAAGGAAGGCAAGAAGGAAACATTCAGGTGTTGCTTACAGAAACTGCCTCTCCGTTAACCCTTTTTACATTCTTGGCAAGACTAGACTTCCTGTCTCTGGAACTTCTCTGGAGTTTTTTCCCTCTCCTTTGCTGGTACTTTGCTTATGTAGAGCAACCATTCAAAGTTACAATGGCACTGAAAAAAGTGACTTATAACCATTTTTCACACTTACGAGTATTGCAGAATGCCCACAGTCACGAGAGGCCAGGCAAGGAGATGCATGCTTCAATTGAGTGATGTTGAGTTGGCCACGCCCAGCCAATAATTTGACCACCAAGCCACACCCACCGACTAAGCCATGCCCACAGAACCGGTTGTTAAAAAAATTGAATCCCACCACTGGTGCTAACCAGCCCCATGGCTGCGTGTTCTTCAGTGAGACTCAAGCAAGACAACAGAGCCATGTTTTTAAAACTTTCCAAAAGGCATGGAGAGTGGGGGCCTCCCCTATTTCTTGGGGGGAAAATGTTCCAAAAGGTGGGGGCAATGGCAGACTAATACTCTTCCCTGTTAGAAACAACTCTTAGCATTTGTTTTTTAGATATTTTTACATTGTGCTTTGAAGGCTGTACAGAGTTTCCCCATTTTTCAGGCACATATTTCCTTCATTTAGAACAGACTAATCCTTTGCAATAACTGAACAATGTTCTCTTCCATAATACTGAAGTAGGGAACTGACTCTTGCCAAAAGATTACCTGAAGACAACTAATCTTTAAGATTTTAATTTCAGCCACCAACAGTACAGCTGAGTCATCTTCAGTAGAGGTGAAAGGCTTTATGATTCATTGTCAGTTTCCAAGCATTTAATCCTTCGGTTCCCCTTAAGAAACTCCCCCGCCTTACTAGCCTTGTACATACACTGTTTGATTGCTATTTCTAGTAACCTTAATCCTGTCAGACCTTGTATGAGAGGAAACCTCTTTTTTTTTTGGTCTTACCTAGTTAGGAGCTTGTTTGACTTAAGGCATGTTTTGCTAAAGTGAGCAAAACAAGCTGGGTTTATGATATTATACTAGACACTATAGTAAATCCTGTGCATGTTTAACTTGATGTCTGAACACATTTATCTAATCGTAAGGATCATCCTATCCAAGTTTGGATTGGCATGAAAGATTTCTCAGTGGGGCTGTTGTTGAGGCTCTTTCTCTACCTTTCTGACCCTCTTATATGAATTATTAGCTCAGTAGCTTCTGGTTGAAGAGGAAATATTAGGATATGTTCTTTCAAGCAGTAACCATGACATGCTTAATGGTCACATTCCAGAAGCCTATTCCATTTCCTTAGAGAAGCTCAAGTCTGAAGTGTGGAAGCTGATGGTCTTCCTCTCAATTCAATAGTGGACTATCTGGAATAATCAAATTGACAGTCATTAATATGTCACCTATTATGAGTTTCATATCATATTTCTGACGTGAAAGCTATTGACTTCATGCACATATCTTGTTTATGGGCTTTTAGAGGAATGTAGCTCCTGGGAGAAAAAGGGATATTGTTCATTGGAATTCTTAAGGGTTCAGGCCAAAGATCTATAGCAGAAGTACAGAACTTTTGTCTATCCAGATATTGCTGAAAACTTCTAGTATCTCACCATTGGTTTATGGCTTGGTGAGAACTAAAATTCAGCAATTAGAAATTTTTCATCATAGATCTAATCTGGGTTATAGTGTGTAATGCATGATTTGTTGTAGTCACTCAGATGTTCATGCTGACTTCGGCATTTTTGTCTACTTAACAAGTCCTTTCCAAAGACTTGGGAAAGGCAGATATGGATATTTGATGGTATCACAGTTATCATTGCAGGATGTAAGCAGTTCTTAGTAAAGCTGCCTTTTGCAATTGACTAGTGTGCAATGCATTACTATTATTATTATTATTTACATTTCTATCATGCTGTTCCAGTAGATGATCAAGGTGGCTTCCCCGAGGAACTCTCAATTACCACAAAAACAAGCCCATGAATTAGAGTTGGGCTGAGAGAGAATGACAGGCCCAAAGTAATATAGTGAGTTTCATGATTAAGGTAGATTTGAACTTCATTTTTTTTTACTACCGGTTCTGTGGTGTGGCTTGGTGGGCATGGCAGGGGAAGAATAGTATAAAATCTCCAATCAGAGGTGGTATTTGCTGGTTCTCCAAACTACTCAAAATGTCCGCTATCGGTTATCCAGAACTGGTCAGAACCTGCTGAATAACACCTCTGGTATGGTCCTAATCCAATATCTTAAACACTGGTCTAGCTCAGGGATTGGAGGTGGAGAGTTGATTAAGTTTAAATTAAGAGAGTGTAATTAGTCCATAGTCACCAAGTGATTTTTCATGGCTGAGAGTAGACTTGAACCTTGGGTGGTCATTTAACATCTTATCTACTGTGTTATAACATCTCTATGCTTGTATGTTGTGGATGTGGAAAGAGTTCCTGAGACTATAAGCTGGGGTGCAGATGCATGTTGCTTATAAAAGCAGAGGAAATGAAATCTGATGGATTGTTGAACAGGGATTATGAAATGGCTAACTACTGACTAAAAATATTGAGATCCGGTTAATTTATGTTCTTTCCATTGGAAAGTTTGCTACAAAGGATTCGTACCACGGCAACCTTGCAAAGCACCTGGGAAACATTATGAAGTGACAGCAGAGCCAAGAGAAAACCATCCACATGTCCCAGTGTTGCAAAGAAAATGAAAAAGCATACATTTGCTTTATCTCGAATATTAGGTAGAAAAACAGAAAAAATAGTGGCCCAGCAGTATCTGTGGAGGGCAATAGGGTCAGTCTAAGGCAATGCTTCTCAACCTTAGTAATTTTAAGATGTGTGGATTTCAACCCCATGTAGTCCATACATCTTAAAGTTGCTGAGATTGAGAAACACTGGTCTTTGGAAAGTGGTGCCACAACGCAACCTACAACCTTTTTCTAAGTGATATCACACTCAAAAAGGTGGAGTTGGTGCCACAACAGTGTTTTCTTATTTCTGATAGAAGCGGGGAAATCATAGGATCCTGTGGATGCTTCAACATTTGATCAGGTCTTAATGTGGGCTAAAATGAAGACAGTCAGCTCCAGAACAAGAGCAGGAGTGGTGCAAAATGGATATTCACTGGGATCTTCTACCTGTTTTGATGGCCAGGAGGTGACCTCCAGCTTCATCTGTAAGTGCTGGGGTGACCTCCAGCCCCACTGTAAGTGCTGGGTGTAGATGTTTTCTCAGTAGTGTACTTATATTTCTTAGACGTATATCACAGGTTTTGATCAGGAGTTCAAGGTGACATATAATATAGATGTCACTTCTCCCATTTTTCCTCACAACAACTGCATTAGAAAATCATTGGTAACACAGACGTGAATTAAGTAGTGCAGTGTGAGATGCTTCCTGTCTCCAATGCCGGTTTCCAGCACTTTGAAAGATAAGCATGTATTTCTTTGCTTTCATCTCCATTTGCAGGGGCAAATGACTCTGGGTTTCCTGACCACTTGTCACATTTCTGCTATTACACTGTCTCATCCTTCAACATTGCTTCTTACTTTTATTGTAGTCTTCTTTAATGTTAAATAGAGCAGGCTGCCGCTGTCTGTCATGTACAACTTTTTGCATCTGAGTTGGCCATTGAATCGCCAGAGAGTACCCACTGAGATTTATATTAGACATTAAATCATGGGCTGTTCCTGAAAAACAGTTCAAACTGCCTGCAGAAATTTTAATTTACTATCTGCAGTTTAAATCGCAGCGGTTGCAAAAGATAAGGTGTTTTCATTATGAAAAGAACAGGCCATAATCATTAATTATTATCAGTTCTTTTGGTGCAATTCAGCTGATATTCAATATGATAACATTGATTTACTGTTATTAATCTGGTTATACACAATAGAATTTATAGTATATCATAAAATCCCTCCTTAGCCACGGTAACCGATTCATTGTATAAATATGGCTCTAAAATCTGTAGCTGTAGGAATACTCAGAATTATACCAAATGCAGGGTTTGACTTCATACAATAGAGCAGGGGTGTCAAACTCCCGGCATCACGGCAGTGTCATGTGACATATTGGAAGTTTTTTCCCCAGGCATGGGCGTGGCCAGCACATGACACATCTGGCCCACAGGCGGGGAGTTTGACAGCCCTACAATAGAGCCACATTATTCTTTTCAGGACTAGAACACAGGCGACTGTGAGTTCTAGTCTCACTTTAGGCATGAAGTCAGCTGGGAAATGTTGGGCCAGTCCCTTGTTCTCAACTCTAGGAAGGGGGCAATGACAAACTACTTCTGAAAATCTTATTTTTAAAAAACCCTTCAGGGACTCATTCAGGCAATTGCCAGGAGCCAAGACTGACTCAGATGCAACAACAACAAAAACTGATTAGCAGAGAACTCATCACATTTGTATCCCAGTCCTCATTTAGGGAGCATCCATGTATGGGCTTATCGTATTTTATTTTGCAGCAGACATAAGATAAGGTGAGCTTGAGAGAACAAACATGCCTAATGCTATAAACGTTTGAACTCGGCAGAAATTTATACTTAGTTCTCTCTGGTTGTCATTTTAACTACCAGTACACATGGCCATTTAAGTTCATTTTTAACATCCTACCATGCCTTCCCTCAATATTGTTAAATATATATTTATTTACTTCTAATGAAATATGTATAAGGTACCCATTACATTTAGTATACAGATGTTAAAATATTGGAGATTTGCTACATTCCAAGAAAGTTGTACGTAAATAAAATGTACTTTGCCAGACAAATAATTACAGTTGTAGAAATGAATCAAGTATAGATCCTTATTTAACTATATTAGCTGCATTATGCTAAAAGGCTAGCAATCATTACAATAGTTAGTACTTTGTGAAAAAGTATGATCTTAAAGTTTATGTGATTCTGAATTCTTGGAATTAAAAAAAAAACCAAGTATGATTTCATAACTAAAATGGGCAATACACATCAAAGAGAAAAAGGCAATTAGTAGCCAATAGGTGAAAATTGGCAAGCATGTCTAAGAGAAAATAGGTTGTTAAGAACAAAGTAAAGCTTTTAAGACCCAGAAAGTCCAGTTAAATTAATTGGAAGAAGCTTAACTGGATTCTACAGATATATTTCCTTGGGCAATCAATTTTCTGGGCCATAAAGTCAAAGGCAGGTCTATAAAGGGTACAGATATAAAGTATATGAATAAAGTTAAATTGAGTGATTGGGTATTCTCCCCTTTTCAGGATTTTATTACCTGCTGACAGTTTTTTATTTAGGACTGTGGCCCTATAATTCCATTATTTAAGGGACATGGAGCTAAGACATTTACAATACTGCCAGCCGGAGAATCTGGCCCTATTCTGTAGAATTCATAAGGCATAAGCATGTCATTGCTATGTTCAGCTCCTTAGGGAGAAAATAATAGAAAGTCCTATTTTGATCCCATGCATTTATTCGTTATCTAATTTCATCTGCAATATAATATGTTGGGAACTCTAGCAAAGTTTACATACCTAGTGGCTTTTGTTGGCTGCTGCAGGTTTAATCAGGAAAGCACAACTCAGCAGCAGTACAGCTAAAGACAACTTAAGATTGCTTCTCTTTCATGGGTTCAGGGAAAAGTGAAAGCGATATTATAGGAGCATAGCAAAAAAAAAACCATGACTTGTTGTACCAAGGTAGGGAAATATTTTGCATTGAACAATAGAAACATAATCAATATTCTTTTGTAGGCCTGGGTGTAGATGATTTTATCAATAAAAGCAAATGGCAAGAATTGATTATAACCTCAAAAAGCACTGGTTCCTGGTAATATCATTCAACTTTTATCAGTCTAGATTGTCATATTGTGCTTGAACTAAGAAAATTCATGATAGAATCTCTTGCTGTCATTTTTACAGTTTAAAAATAGTGGTGGGTTCAGGGAAGTTGTGCTAGAAGTGGGACATTTTATTTTGTCACCCACACCATATCAGTGATTCAAACTGTTTCTGAAAAAGATCAATTCATATCACAAGTGATAGATGGAGGTTTTTTTTTTACTATTTTATTGAAAAACTCACACTTGGCCAAAAAAGAATTCTATTCTACTCTATTCAAATATGTGGGTCTTTTAACTGTGGGAAGTCTGTTTTAGGATTCAGACTACCTAATTCGTGTTTGCCATCTGAAAATGGTGAAAAGATTGACATAGGGCTGCAAAATGATTAGAAGGCTTCCATGAAAACTTGGGGTTGTAAGATGCCAACCCTTGTGTAAGTCCTAATCAGAAAAAAAGTGGTGGGGAAGGGGACAGAGAAAGACCATACAGCTTCCTGTGCTATACTGTCTAGATTCAGAAGTGTTGGTCAGCTTGTTCAGGAAAATGATCAAGGAGAAACAATGGGTACCACAGCTCCAAGCTAGTCTACAACTCTTTCAGCTGTTCTTACCTCCTAAACAAGAATCTTTGGTTCTTCTGCATTAGATATCATCTGGCCCAAATTGTGTGTACCTTTTAAACTGAGAGGAACCAGGAAGGCGGGGTTTAGGGATCCATGGACACAGTCAGTGTTGCATTTTGCATTTACGTGCCTGGCACTGAAAGATCTACTGTAGGTAAATGCTGTGGAGGGAGTTGTTGATAATGAAGTCAGAGCCCGTAAAACATGGTTTTATAGGGAAGTAAAATGAAAGTCCCACATTGTTCCTGTGTATGACAGTGTGTAAATTACCATTCCGATGACCTTCATCCAACAGAGAAATGACAGGGCGTGGGAGAAGAGAAGAGAGGAAGAGAAAGGGTAGATGAAGGGACAGGACAGCAGCTCCAGATGGAAGATGGAAATGGCATTCTGCCTTCAGAAGTGACCCTTGCAGCTTCTGCTACCAATAAAGTAATCTTAATAATGACACCTTAGGTACCACACTGCACTGGGGAAAGCTGAGTGTAGATAGCAGGCCCTTTGCTATGCTTTTTTCACCTGTCCTGGAGCAGAAATCAGCCACAAGCTGGTGACGAAGCCTGTCATAAACAATCGTCAACAGGGAATAGAGAGGGAGAAAAGCAAAGCAGAACGAAGTAAGAGGCTGAGCGCAGCAGTGTTCACTAGTGGGTGAGATGATTAACGATTAACCCCCCTTGCCTCCTGCCTCCACCCATTTGGGTAGTATAGGCCTTGAAGTGCAGCAGATTCTTTCAGAGAAATATCTGAAATAAAGGCCAACAGATAGGGGACGCCGGCAAAATCAGTTGGAGAGGTTGAGGGGGCCAATAACCTCTGGCTGTGGAATCACTGCAATCTGGCCCGTGTTTGCAGATGATAATGCGCCTTTCCAAAGCCCTGATAGACATGGAGATGGCAGATTACAGTGCAGCTTTAGATCCTGCATATACGACACTGGAGTTTGAGAACATGCAAGTCTTGGCAATGGGCAGTGGTAAGTCCATTTCAGAATGTTGTTTTTCTCTATCAAAGTTGGGGTCTGGGCAGGAAAGATTCAGAAGTCTTTTTTTTTTTTTTGATAGCAGCCAGATAGTGTGGAACAAACATGATTACAGTATGCTTAGTTCCATCCTCCACCTATGTAAAAGTCTGGCGGTGGAAGAGGTTTTGGTGTCCCAAGCACAAATATTTTCTCTGTAAGATTTTGTCTGGGACTCTGCTTGGTTTTAACCAGCTGACATTTCACAGGATGGTTGCAAGTACAGGAATCAAAGCCCTATTATCATTTTCTCTTGCACTACACACAAATCTGACTGTGGGGGAAAAAATAGGAAGAAGCCCCAGAAAGAAACATGGTTGGGAAGTATGCAAAGAAATTAAATGAAATGGGATGATTGTTCCGGTAGGAGTAGGTTAAAAGGAGGAATGCAATACCTAACTTTTCAAAAAGAGGTTAGAGTTCAAGGGCCTATTAGGAAATGCAATTATTATTTTAGTAGAGTTATACCTATGAAAACTCTTCATATTGTCTGTGCCATAATAATTTGCAGTTAGAGTGATTAGGGGTCTGCGACTATGACCCTATACTATTCGTTCATATTTGAGAATAAGACTCTATAAATATAATTGATTCTAAATTGAGACAATTCTAACTGTGTACAGAATCCCATCAAGATTAGAATTGTGGTAAAATATGATTATGATTATTGCTTTTATTACTATTATCATTTCATGCAGTAATGTAGCTGTATGATTTAGAAAATATTTTCGATTGTCTTCATATGGATACTTTCACACTTCATGTAGGATTTTACAAGAACTGATCATTACTACTTCTATTATGATTAATTATAAGCTCAGTCTGTTTTCTTATATTATGCATTTTTTGCTTAAAAGCTTTAGTCGTTCCCTTGATGCTTTTCTTTATTTTAATTGGCATAACACCGTGTACCTTATTGCCTCAATGAGTCTGATAGTTTCAGTGGCATTCATTGAAATTCAGAACTTTCTACTATTTGGAAAACAGCATGTTATGAAATAAAAAAAATGGGATAGTTTATGATAATTTTCATTCTTGTTGTTAGAGAGATGTATTGTACATTTTTTGAAAATCGTACCTGATTTCCTTACTGTCCCACAACGATGTTTTAGGACATCTTAAATAGAAATACAATTTTATGTCCATACATAAACATGGAACTATAGAAGATGTTTTATGGAGAAGTACAGCTCCCTCTGAAAGCTACAATTCCCAATCTTCTTTGGAGAATATCTATTGAAGGTTTAGTGATAATCATCTCAATCATCTCAATCTTTTATTTGGCATATTACTGCCAATTTTTCATTCTTACATTTTTGAAGTATCTAACTCTAAATATTAACATTATAAGTTAATATTTAAAAGCTAACAATAAAGAGAGTTGGCTAAAATGAAAGTTATGTTTCTGAAAGATTGTATGTAAGAAGGTAACTCTCCAAACTACTAAAATTAGTAATGAATGAGTATTCAGCATGTTCAATTTTTTCTTCCTTTACCCATGGTCAGATTTTTACAACTTTTTGTGTAGTAGCTTGATTACAGTATCTAGGGTCACCACAATGTGTGGATTGACATTTGGGTGTGGCTGTTGCTGACACCTGCTGGAAATTGACTGAAGTGAGAAAGTGTTGTTTCTACATAAATATATCTTGGGTGCACGTGAACCCTGTTCTTCATTTTGTAAAATTTTACCAAACTATTAAAGGCTGTTAATTGCACAATCCTATTACAGTCTGAATAGATGTAGCTGCTAAAAAGATAAATACAATTATAGATGCATGTAATTATAAAGTATACATGCATCCATCCATTGAAATGTAATTTTCAAGTCAAAGGAAGCAATAATTCTTCTATTGTCTATATTGGTCAGACTCCCTTATGTTCATTCATACTGTGTTCTAAGAAAGCTTCACGGAAACTGCAAAAGGCAAAGTGAAAGGCAGATAGAGATGATCAGATAAAACAAATTGTTATGAGGATGGGCTTAGGAAAATGAGCTTAGGAAAATTTAATCTTGAAAATACAAGGGTGATATAATACAAGTAAACCTTATAACACAACCACAATTGAGCCCAAAATTTCTGATGCTGAGATATTTGTTAAGCGAGTTTTGCCTCATTTTACGACCTTTCTTGCCACAGTTGTTAAGTGAATTACTGCAATTGTTAAGTGAATCTGGCTTCCCCATTGGCTTTGCTCATCAGAAGGTTGCAAAAGGTGACCACATGACCCTGGGACCCTGCAATAGTCATAAATATGAGTCAGTTGCCAAGCATCTGAATTTTGATCATGTGGCAATGGGGATGCTGCAACGGTCATAAGTGTGAGAAGCAGTAATTTTTTTCAGTGATGTTGTAACTTCAAGTGGTCACTAAATGAACTGTTGTAAGTCAAGGACTACCTGTAATCATTTCCAAGTTCTTGAAGAAATATAAACAACATCCCTGACTGTTGTCATCTAGGAGTCTGGGACACAGAATAACAGTCTTAAATTACAGAAAGGTACACCCCAGTTGAACGTGAAGAGAAACTTCATCAGAGTAAAAGAGTTCAACTGTGCAACCAATCACCAAGGCCTCTCTGTAAGAATGTGCCAGCTGGCTAATGCATGCAGATAAATGCATAAATACGACAACAACTTTCACAAGAACTGATCACAAAGCACTGATATCACCAGGGAGAGTCTGCAAAATAACAATCTATTTGATTTATGATACAATGAACTCTTTATCTTGTTTTCTTTCCCTTTACAAGTATCATTTAATTACTTGGTACAATTTGTTGTACAGCATAGCTGCTTGGTTATATAAGTGACCAAAGAAATGCCAAGCTGACTGTTATCAGATCCTTATCATCTCTTTTTTCAGTGCCTTTTTCAATTTGCAGTTTTACATTTTCTATCAGAATTTCTTTTTTCTCTTGGAGATGTTTGCTGGAAAATTAGGATAAGCTGGTACAGAGAAGGAATAGTTACTTAACTCTTCTTTAAAATGTATGATGAAATATTGTGAAAAATATGCAGTAATTAAATGTGCACACTCATCACTGCTAGCAACATCACCCGTTAACATATCTTGTTTGCTATTCCAGAAGAGCAGAAAGTAACTTTAACTGAAAGGACCCAATGTGGCAGCGAGAAGAAAATACGTTTGCGGTGGAAAGGGAATTTCTGAATTACAAACCCAACACAGATAGAGAAATAGTTTTCAAGCTGCCTTTTTGCATTTTAAACAAAATACATATAAGTCATTAAGAAGATAATTCTTACTCCATATATTTATTCACTAATGTCAATGCTTTTTAAAGTTTTTCAAAAAGGTTTCTGAAATTCTTGGGTTAGCTAGCATCTTGGCCAGCAAAAACCCAAACACAGTTCAGAAAATCATGGATGAATTATTATGATTGATATTGCTTATTATTTATAGCATTATTAGTGTACATGAGGAAGGAGATTATTTGGACTTCTGGCAATCAGGTATAAGATTCAGTAAAGAAACTGTCAGTCACACTTGTGGATGAACTTTTGAGATACTGGGATTGGAGGAGTGCAATCCTCCTGGTTCTTCTTGATCTCTTGGAGGCTTTCAATATCATTGACCTTAATGTCTTTCAGGACCATCTTTGAAAGACTAGAGGCAATGTTCTGTAGTGTTGTTTTGCCTTCCTCCTGAATGGTTGGTTGCTTTTAGAACATTTGGAAGAGTGTTGCTGATAATGATTGTGGTGGCCCAGACAGTGTTAGGTGCACCTCCATATACTTAGCTGGCCCTCCTAGTTTAGGAATCAATCTAGTTTCTATTGTTACTTTTCATGGGAATAGGCTATACCCTGGGAAGAGGAAGTCCCTGTTTAGGGCTTATCTATGCTACTAATTTCTCTCTCACCCCCTCTCCTCCACCCATACTATAAAAACAGAATACTAATTCACTTTGCAAGGCAGTTGGAACAATGTAAATGAAATGTCTTCAGTGCTCAATAACATTGAATAAATGTGTTGTATACACAATGTGACTTTAAGCCTAAAATAAGATCCTTAAGGAAGCTTCCAAAATAACTATAAAAATTATGTTAGAGTCTAAATGTCAACTTTAATAACGTTAAAATTGATTAGACTATATGTGTGTGTGTGTGTGTGTGTGTGTGTGTGTGTGTGTGTGTATCCTAAATTATTTTAAAAATAGGTTGGGTCTTGGAACTATAACAGTCTCAGTCACCTTTTAGATGATTCATGCTGGAAACTTGGCAGAAGGCGAATGTCTCTTAATTTTGCTAAGCTGCTTTCAGCACTGTTGACCATGATGTCCTACATTACTTGGTCAATATGGATTGGGAGTTTCTGATGGTTTAACTCATAAAGTTATGGTAGAAGACTGTTGCTCAACAGTATTCTACCATAAGAAGTCTTCAAACCACTGCACAATATTGCAGTTCCTCAATATTGTGCTTTTTACTTTTGTTATAGAACTACTGAGTGGATCATTTGATGTTTCAGAGCTGATTCTATATTGATAATATCCAATTCTGTCTCTCTTTTTCAAATGATGGCAAGGAGATTGAGCTTACCATTATCTGATCACAGTAAGGAATTGCTTGAAGGTGAACAACCTGAGGTTCGGTCCAGACTAGATAAACTGCATATTAATCAACTGGCATCCCAGGATTTGGGACCATGCCTCTTCTGGGTAACAATGTTTGTATGAACAGACTAAGGTTTAAAACTTGGCACTAAATTTGCTTTCCTAATATACTGTGGTGGTAGCAATAACCAGTACTTCTTTGCTGAAGCAATTGCATCTCTTTTTGGAGAAAGAGAACAGATCTAACTTTAGTGATTCAGACTTTATTACTTATTTAGATTTCTGTCTGAAAATTACAGCTATCATAAAATGTTCAGTAGTATTGTTAGTTATGTATTTTATATACCATTTAACACTGAAATAATTGAATTGGCTTCCAGTTTATTTCTAAACCTAATGTTTAGAAGTGTTGATTATTTCCTAAAGCCTCAAATGTCTTGGGAGAAAAGCACAGGTGAGTCTTTCTTCCATATGAAACTGCCCATAAATTGCAGTTCGGTTGCTTATTCCACTGTCTAGAAAGGAGTGGATTTGTACAAAACTACAAGGTAAAATGCCAAGGCACTAAAGAGCAAAAATGCAAACTCAAATATCTTTATTAGTACAGCAGGATTATGAATAAGCCATGAAGACCAAATAAAAATTCCACAATCTTTTAGTGAAAATAACATTTTTATTGGTTAATGTTACTCTACATTATTGCATTAAAGCTTTCTTTCCTTTTTCTGTTTTTAATAGATAAGTTTATTTTTATCTTGTTGGGCATTCATTTTAAAAGTGCACTGCTTTCTGAGCATTGAGCAAAAGGATTATGCATAAATATAAGAGATTAGTCAACATTATTTACTATTGTATTGTTGACGTAGTTTGAATCCCAACTTTGCCACGCTCTTGTTCCAGTATGTTTTACCAGGAACACATTTTTCTCCCCTTGGAAAGTGCCTCTCGTGCCTCAGATTTATAGCTTAAATTTCATACACATAGCAGAGCCCCAAAATAGAGTTTTGATTATTCTCAAGATTGGCTGTATAGCACAGGATTTACTTATCTAATGTCACGTTGAAAGGAAGGGCTTTGAAGCTTCTTTATTTTGATAATAGTTAACAAACTTCACAGGCTTACTGACTGGTGCCATGGTGAAAGGAAGGATCCTTGTAATCACATTAAATGATCTCATAGCCCTGCGATGGTGAACCTAAGGCACGCATGCCACAAGTGGCATGGAGAGCCATTTGTGCGGGTACATGAGCCCCAGCCAAACTTATCTGCACTGCACATGCACACGCCTCCCAGCTGATTTTTGGCCTCGCTGAGCCTCTGTAGCCTTGGGAGGCTGAAAAATGGGCCTTCCAGAAATACCAAAAGTGCCTGTTTCAGCCTCCAGAGGGCCTCTGGAGCCTGGGGCAGGGTGTTTTTGCCCTCTTGGAGGCTCGAGGAAACCCTCTGCAGCCTTTGCAGGCTGAAAAACAGGCCCGTTTTGGCACTTCCAGGATTTCCAGGAATACCGGAAGTGCCGAAACCAGAAGTGGAGAAATAAGCCCGTATTTCGGTCTCCCAAGGCTGTAGAGGCTTCCCTCGAGCCTCAGGAAGGTCAAAAAGGACAGGCTGAAAATTAGCTGGGAGATGCGTGCATACGCAGTGCAGCTAAGGGGACAGGGGGTTTGTGCATGCATGCGCAGTGGGGCAGGGCATATTGCCTTCTAGGTGCTGACATGTGAGCACACGCACGCAAGCATGTGTGCAATTTTCAGCACGCGAGCCCAAAAAGGTTAGCCACCACTGTCATAGCCTGTCGGGAAGAATGTTTCAGCCAACCACCAAATGTACATGAATACAGGTGGACAATCTCTTACATTATATTTTGGGGCAAGAATTGTTAGGAACTTTTCTTCCCCTCATCCCTGCTCCTCATCCTTTCTTGAGAAAGAAGGGATAGCTATTACTTTATAAAGTTTAGCAGCTGGAGTCATTCTTACATTTGAAGTGAAATAAGAGAAAGCTGATTGGTTTGTGTTCTCTATGTTCAGTTACTTGGGGTTACTCGGATGAAGATGATGTTTATCAACTATACACTTACACGGTATGCAGACTCAAGGATATATGCTGTCCCTAGGCCACATCGACTAATAGGGCAACCTCCCATTGATGTAAAGATTTGCATTTATAGAATGATTCAGAAGGAGGATTGGTGCCCTGAGCCAGTGCCTTCTCAGCCTTAATTTAAAGCACGTTTGCAAGCATATAGACAATACTGGTTTAAATGAATACAAGATTTGATTTGCAGATGGTGAATACAAAATGAGGAAAATGCAGGTTTGATTTAATATGTATTAGGACAATCTGTTGGAAAATTGAATGGAGAAGGGAGCTTTTTAAAGCTTTACTACTGCTGGTTTTGTATGAACTTGTATACCCCTAGAGATTTCTTGATTTAGCGTGTGTTCATGATTGCTTTCTGCACATCTTCTTAAACAGACACTTCCCCATCTGAAGTCACAAATCTCAATGCTTCTAACAACATTGGAGCCAGTGTGTTATGTGCCATTTGTGGAGATCGTGCTACAGGGAAGCATTACGGTGCATCCAGTTGTGATGGCTGCAAAGGGTTCTTCAGAAGAAGTGTCAGGAAGAATCATATGTATTCTTGCAGGTAAGGAAGGCAGAGTGAAGAGAAAGTTTACTAAAATGATAAGATCAATTGTTAACATTTAAAGGGTAACAAAGCTCAGTTTTATGAGGCATTCTTTCTTGAATCAAGAACTATATCAAAGAGAAAAAAGGGAAAGAAGTAAATACATTTAGCTTGGAGAATAGAAGAAAAGGGAATTGAGAACATGATGTCATCCTTCAAGGGCATTAAGTGAGATCCTATAAAAACAGATCAAAAGATTGTTTTCTGCTGTTTTAGATGGGTAAGTGTAAATCTATTGGGCTTTAGGAGAGAAGATATTAGTTAAATATAAGGAGACATTTTATAAATGTCATAAAGAGTAGCTTTGAGAACAAAACCAATTAGCCAGTAAGAAGTCCCTTGCTAGACTTTTTATAGAAAAGAATGAAGATCCACCTATCATGAATAGATTTCCTGCCTCAAGCTTGAGGTTGAAATACAAGGCCCCAACTCTGATTCCGGATTTGGTGAAATGAAAAAAATACTCCTAAGTTTCATTCTCTTTTTTAACACTCGTTTATCTGTGCTCTGCATTTTCACTTAGTCCAGAGGGTCTACAAGAGCATCTCAGATACATTTTTAACTTGGCTAAGAAACTAGCAAGATTTGTCTGGAAAAGGCAAGATATAGGCAAGAGTTGTATGAAAAAAGAAACATCTTTTCTGATATTTGGTATACAATGTACAATATCAAAAGGCTGCAATTTGCACCACATTTCATATGCATTATTGTGACAAACGTAATTTACTATGTGTTAAAATTGTAGATTGATTAATTTTCAAATCATGCCTCTCTCCTTCTCTTTGCAGGTTTAATAGACAGTGTGTTGTAGACAAGGATAAAAGGAACCAGTGTCGATATTGTAGACTAAAAAAATGTTTTCGAGCAGGAATGAAGAAAGAAGGTAAGGTCCTTTCAGGAATAATCAACTGAGTTTGCTTTTTCATTGTATAACTATACTATAAACAATTTTGAGTACTGCTGTGTAGATTATCAGATTCTATAGAATAGGGGTCCCCAACCTTGGCAACTTTAAGACTTGTGGACGTCAACTCTCAGAGTTCATCAGCCAGCAAAGCTTACAAGTCTTAAAGTAGCCATGGTTGGAGACCCCTACTATAGAAGGTAGCCATTTTCCCCTTCAACATCTGACAGGAATTTTGATGAAATATCTGCGAATGAGTATGAAATAATAATCAAAGTGTTGGACATGAGTTGGGAAGATCTAAGTTTAAGTCACTACTTGATCATAGGTTCACTGGATAACTTTCTCAAGCCAGTTTATTTGCTGGGATCATTGAGAAGATAAAAAGAGGGAAGTATCCTATGAGTACTGCCATGTGGTTAAAAGGAAAGGCAAACTAGACACTATGGGGGAATACCCATAGTATAAGGGAATAAGTCTTAAATGAGGTATCACAGGTAACATAGACAGGTAATTTGTTTAATTGAAGTAGGTGGATTTATAACTATGACCAGCAGAAATATAATCCAAGATATCAAAGCAATTATGACAACGATTGTTCTGCATTTCATCTGGAAATTCAAATTTCCCCTTTTCTCTGCCTCCGAGGATGTAGATCAGATAAGAGATTTTTCCCCCCAGTTTTGCGGTCAGAGACCATTATAACACTGGGAGGAACTACCTGGATAGAACGTAATAGCTGTTATTTGCTATCTGAATTATTATCTGAGAAAAATAGGAATAGGAAGAAATCATTCAGATTTCCAAAATGGATCATTATCATTACTATTGCATCACAAATCTACAAAGTGCATACATAGTTAATTTATGAAATTTGCTGCCAGGCCATTGATTTATGGCTACCATTTTAGTTTGCTTTAAAGGCAGGCGCAGGATGAATGCCCACTCTGTTTTTCCTCCAAGATTAAAAACAATCTCTGTCTGAATTGACAGTTATAAGGAGGAAAAGGGGTGGAAGTGGGTCTCCCATTTTCTGACTTAGTGCATGTGCATCCCTTAGACCTCTAGTTAGCTACTGTGAAACAGGATGATGGTTCTTCATATTCCTACTTATGGATGTGCTCAACCACATCTGATGAAGTGGATTCTTGTCCACAAAGCTTCTGTGCTAGTGTATGTGTGATCCTTTAAGATGTCACAAAATAGATTATTATGGTACATGTTTTCCAGGATGAGAGTTGAGTTTAGTGGGCAACTGTGCTTTTTCAGATGTGCCTCACTGCTCCTTAGGGCTGGTGGAAACCAGCCATAATGAGGGAGCTGTCCACCTTATGTTACAATAAAATTTTCCACTTAGGGTTGGAACTTAGACTTAGGGTTGGCTTTGGTACATCCTGTCGCTATAGCTTAGATGCTGCCAATGCTTAACATTAGTAGCCAAAGAACAAGTGTTCCTAAAAATGTAGCTCCATTTTGCATGGATAGTGAAATCCTCATATCTGTCCAGAGTGCCTGCTCAACTTGTATTTCCTGTTAATATTCAATAGAAGTTACATTGGGTCCATGACCAGCTAAATACTGAGTAAACACTGAGGATACATCATGCTGTGGCTGAGCTCCTGGGTTCCTGATAACACACAGCATAACCTTGAATCCTCCTATTAATAGCTGCTGACTGCAGAGTTTTCGTTTCAATATAGCCTCATTATAACTCTATTATTGAGCTGATTGGAAAATAAATCTGAGAGGCACTGCTTGTAACAGTAACAATCAGATATCACTTAATAGAGATATTTTCGTGATTAGTCTGAGAAAGAGAGTGAAAGTATCTGATTACTAGAGCTGATAACTTAGGTACTTCTTGGAGTTGTTAAGGGTAATCTCTTCCTGGACATTAGCCAAGTAACCACAGCCGATCACAAGCTTGATCAGGAAATATTAGAATACATTTTCCCTGGGTATGAAAAGGAACACCTCAAACGTCAAACTACTGTATTGAAGCACCTTCCCCACTATATTTTTCACAAATTTTGCTAATTAATTTATAATTTTGCCCTGTCTGATGAAATTGCTTGGATAAGCAACAAACCATCTCAGATTAACAAAGTTTGGTCTGGTTGCCATGATTCAACCTTTAGACACCTTTGGCCTGGATGATTGAGACTTCATTGACATACTTCCCCACTATTATTGAAGTCTAACATGTTTAAATATGTTAACGTTAACACAGCTGCAAACAAAAAGAAAAGTCAGAGGAGCAATAATTGAGGTTTTTTTTTTAAAATACTTTGTGTAGAATAATGTAAACATTGTTCATTTTTAATTAAAATACAACCCTGATGGACAACAACAAAAATTCTTCCTAGCTTCACAGTGCAGTAACAGTGTGGGAAACAAGTAGAAGGATTTCTTGCCTGAATGGGGTTGGACTTGAAGATCTCCAAGGTCCCTTCCAACTCCTTTATTCTATTTTAGAAGATTAAATTCATCCCACACTGCTAAAGTTTAAACCTCAAACTCGTGACATTGGTATATTAATGAGAAGGATTTTTTTCTCCTTTGGTGATAGGTTGAGGTTAAAATGTAAAAAAAAATCCATCCCAGTTTATTACAATTGAATTTCCTTCTTAAAACTGCACAGTAGCATATAGAATATTCTATACATATACTTAGAATTAGAATTCTTTATTGGCCAAATGTGATTGGACACACAAGGAATTTGTCTTGGTGCAAATGTTTTGTTTCATTTAATTGCCCAGCTCAAGTCTTTGTGGTAGTTCAGATCAGCATCATTATCATCAGCAACAATGTTAATTGCTTTTTTATTGGGTGAAATCCAATTTTCAATTTGAATTTTGAATAACATTTCTGTTAAGCTTGTTGTTTGCCTTCCATCCTCATTTCCCTATGCCAGCTCTGATAGAACTTCCAACCTTCCAGTCAAAATATGAGGTGCACAAAGGACGAAAAAAATAGTCTCCCCATTTTTATACATTTACTGTTTTTTCCCATGGGAATTAATCTTCTTGGATTCAAAGTTTTATCTTTCAAATGTAGAATATACTATAAAAAGCAAGCTTGAAATGTCATTCATGTTCCTATTGATAATGTAAATGGCTTAGGTGTCTTTAATGTTGGGGTTTTAATTTCAGCTGTACAAAATGAGCGTGATCGAATCAGTACTCGGCGATCTAGCTATGAAGACAGTAGCTTACCTTCCATTAATGTTTTATTGCAAGCAGAAGTCCTTTCACAACAGGTACTTGTTTCTGTTTTGGCAAGAATTAGTATCAGCATGATTAGAAGGCTCCCATATCCCACTGTTGTTTCAGTGCATGTCTTAACCTGGAAAGCATGTCTATAAATAGGCCACTGTAAAAGCACCTTGATTACTTCTTAAACTGTCCTAGTTTTAAAGTAATGCTTCTCCCTTTCTCCCACACAAATTTATTAAAAACATAATCTATGATGCTTTATTGACAATACTGTGATGATAAGGTCAGGGCAAGGAACTGCCAAGCTCCTGTTAGCTGTTATATGTACTGTATGTCGCCTTGTCTCCAGTCACTGAATAACTAGGTATTACCCTATGTAGCCATTTTTTTCTTAAGCTGCAGGAGAGACCAGACAGCCTTGTTATATGGGAGTTAGCTGACTGTATAACATCTGATTAGGGAGAACAAGTGGCAGTTTTCTTTCCCGCCAGCATATTATGTTGGGTGGGAAAGCAAATTCAATTGACAGCTTCCAATAATAGCTATCCTTAACAAATGGCTTTATTACTCAGAATTCAGCAGCCAGGGCTGAGCAGTTTTGAGAATAAAGTTTTAGAGGAATGCTTGTTAACTTGGTCATGAGCAAAACCCTGCCTCTATTGTTAATGAAGCCATAACGCCATTGCAAGCACATTTTACGTAACAATGATAAATGTTATCAGTAATTCTCTGGGTGCAAAATATTGTTGCTTTGCATAGTGAAAAAAAATGCACTAGGACTATAACTTTAAAAGAAGATGCTTAGGTTATACATAGTTGTAACCAAATAAGCTACAGCTGTGAATTTAGTGCATTATATGTTAAAAGGTCTTGGTAATAAGAGTGCATACTGTTAAAAACTGCATTCTCACCAGGCCAAATCACTTACTCAGGACTGATATTTATGTTTAATTGTTTAGAGGGAAATAGATTTGTACCACCTTCAAAATGATTTTGAATGTTCACATTAAGCATGGCTTCCTTTCATCTTTGTAGTAATAATATTAGATGGAACTCCTCTCCTTGTTCTGCAGATATCATCACCAATGTCAGGGATTAGTGGAGATATCAGAGGGAAAAAGATTGCAAATATTGCAGATGTATGTGAGTCCATGAAGCAGCAACTATTAGTGCTTGTAGAATGGGCCAAATATATCCCAGCCTTCTGTGAGCTTCCCCTGGATGATCAGGTGAGCCCTTTTTTTGCACTCTTATTCTAATTAAACTTTTCTTGCATATTCTATTTTCAAAATTGTTATTCTGTAATCCTTCTGAGATATCCATCTGATGATCATGCTTTAGTTTCTACCCACTGTTGTTGGTTGATGTACAGTACTGTAATGCTGAATTGGTTGACAGTAATAATAGTAATCCTTAGGAAGAGTTCGATAGGTAAATAAAAATGCCAAATCCTGGCTGAACATCTGGCTGACTGTGCAAGCAACCACAATAATATCTGAAAACATCTGGAGCACCACTTGAACACCCTTGGCATTGACAAAATTCTCATCAGTCAATTGCAAAAGGCAACTTTACTAGGAATAACTTACATCCTGCAATTATATCTTTCATACCATCAAACATCTGCCTCGGGAAATCCTTGAAAAGGCCTTGATAGCTAGATACAAATGCCAAATTCAGTCTAAACATCTGGCTGATTGTGTGACCTATCATAATATATTCCTCCCCAACATGTAAAAACTTTGGATTTAATGACATTTAAATGAACAGTTACATTCTTATGGCTATTATCCCCTGCATTCTTAATTGTGTAGGCTTCCTTGATTCTAGTGATAGCTTGAATCAGAGATCTATCAGATTAAGCTAGGAGTTTACTGACTTTCAGAATGGATCTATTATTGGACATGATTCTGACTTTCATAATAGGGCATCAGTATCATTAGGCACTGGTATTATGAATGAACACCATTGAGGCTAGCTGAGCAAAGCAAACACAAACTGCTTCCCTTCCTTTACATAGAGGTGGGCAATTTGTGTTCCACAAACTGTTTGTTATCCCTAGTGCCTAATTTTCAGCCCTGAGAACATCTTGAATCATGAATCATTTTTGATGGTTGCAATAATTTGACCTGTTATTCCAACATTTATTAAAAAAACTAAAATAGTTCTGCCCACTTGGTGATATCACTGTATAAGAATATGGTTTCTTTAGGCTTTGGATACCAGAATAATCCTATCCTTTCCTTTCTTTTCCTTTTCCAAATGCAGTCCCTACAATTCCCCCACTTCTCTCAAATTATTGCCCTTTGGCCAAAAATGTTAACAGTATTTTTTAGGAAACCTTCCTGTAATTCCAGAGGAGTAGAAATAGATGTTGTTTGAATCCTCGTGTATGTTTTCTTCTTTCAAAATCATTAAAATCACACCTTCAATCAATCACAAAAACATTCATCTTAAAAAATGGTGTCCTCCCAAACAAAATAAAAAATAATAGAACAAGCATTTTGCTAGTGTTTCCTGAGTGAATGGTAAGATTCATCTTCTTCTAACTCTTCTGCTTTTTATACTGAACTGGAATTTTTGGGTGCAGTGCATTTTTCCTGGCTCCTCACTCCATGATTTCTGTCCTTATGGCTGGGTGATTGTCACACACCTGAATTCCACAGTACTAGTAATCTTCTAAAAACTCCTCCCATATGGACACATATTTGACCAATTCATGTATAATAGAACTTTTGTACCCTAATTATGTTTTCCTTGCTACTATTTTTGTTAAAGAATCACTTACTCGGTTGATTATTTTTCTAAGATTATTTTAGCATTAGGATATTAATATCAGACAAATCCACCCTACTCCACTTTGTCTCAAACCTAAAACTGATGCCGCTGGAAAATAGCACTCTCTCCAGCTCTTTCATTACATGATATTTCTCCATGTTTGTTCAGTGCTTACATGTTGGCCCATCCCCATAAAGACAATCTTTCCCAAATCCTCCAGTTAATGTTTAGAGACTGTTTGCTGAAAAGCTGAAGTCCCAATCGGACATTAAAAAGCATCCATGTCATACTGCGTCTTGGTGTTAACCTTTGTTTCTAAAGACTTTTTTTAAAAAAGATGTGAAACAGGAGATTCAGAACATTCTTGAGGATCATTGAAGGGTATAAAGTGACACAATGCAATCATTAACAACACAGCAAGCAGGATTTTTTTTTTAAAAAAGGGGAAAAAAAGAAAAACTGTAGAATTTTTTTTTTAGAAGCACTAGAAAAATTAATTGTACCGGGGCAAGAATGCTAACTCTATTTGTAATAGATCTGTATGTGAGTAAGTGTTCAATATTGCACTGGTCAGACCGCACTTGAAATTCTCTGACTCCAGTTTTGGTCACCACAGTGGAAGAATGCTGAAAAGCTAGAAAGAGTAGAAAGAGCAGTGAGGAGCTTGAAAAGATGGTGAGGAGCTTGAAGGCTAAATCCTATGATGGTTAAAAGAGCTGAGTTTAGCCTAAACAAGGCTAAACATGATACCAATCAACCCAATACTTGAAGAGTTGCCATGAGGAAGAGGCTGTGGATTTATTATTCATAGTGCCTGAAGAACCAACGGGTGGAAGCTTTATGGAGACCAAAATCTAAATAAAGACGAATGCCCTGACATTAAGCAGTAGACCCATCTGCCTCTTGAAATTATGGAGTCCCATCACTGGAACTTTTCAAGCAAAGTTTGGACAGTTATTATGGGGACTAGTGTGCTTTTACTTGTTTATTAACTAAGCACAGTGCATCCTTAACTTGAACAGTTCATCCACCTAATATCCTGGCCAATAGTCATAGGGGAATTAACTGTTCTGGAAAATATTGTACTCAGCCCCTTAGATCTGCCAAGTGACTCCTGGAACAGCATTTAACTATTTAGCCTTACATTCCGGCTAAAATGGATGGATGGATGATGATGATGAGCCTTGGAATTAGCATTGACTTCTGGCAACTGCATGGACAAAATCTCTGCAGTTTTCTGGGCAAAAGATTTTTAAAAGACGATTGCCATTGTCTCCTTTCTATGGTTGAGAGAGACTGACTAATCTTAAGTTATCCAACTGGCTTTTGCTTAAGACAGGATAGGACCCAATTCTCAGAGTTTCTAGACTGATGCTTTAACCACTATACCAAACTGTCTGTCATAGCTGAATAAATAGTTTTTATTTACTTACTTACTTACTTAATGTTTGGGTCCCCATCTTACCCCAGGGTAGCTTTGCAATGTACTCTTTTGTAATTTACTTTTTGGTAATTTCCAATATGGACTGCTGTAATATATTATAAGTGAGACTGCCTTTAAAACGAATGAAGAAACTTCAGATAGTCCCAAAGAAGACAGTAAGAGATCTTACTGCAGCTGCCTGAGATATCAGGGATAAATTCCTGTTAGAGCTGTTCAACAGTGAATCAAACTGCACCAAGAGTTATTGGGTTCTTCTCCATTGGAGGTATCTAAATAAAAGCTGGGATGCAGTAGATACATATAATAGACTGGTAGTTGGCTTAAATTATTTCCAAGATTCTATATTTTAGGATCTCTCTATATTGCATGGTTACTTTGCCATCTGCATTGACTAACAGTCTACTTCTAGTCAAGTTCTGGTATTAGTCCATAAAGCTCTAAACACCTATAGTATTCAAGGCTATAGTATTCAAAGAAGCATATCCACACATATTCATTGGCCAGGACCTTAAATTCCCACCAGATACTTCTATCCTATGAAGCAAAGCCAATGGCTATTAGAGAAAGGGCCTTTTGGGCTGTGGTGCCCCAGCTCTGAAAAGCCACCCCCGTCCCCCAATTGTGCTTTGATGTTGGCTTTGATTCCAGATATTTAAAGAGCCATTTTGAAGTTTTAGAACAATAATGCTTTGTTGCTATTTTATTGCTATTTGTATTCCTGCTTCTGATTTTTATCATATCAATTTGAACTTTTTGCTGCCTTATATATTTTTCAGTTTTATTTTTCAGAATAGGTTATTAACTGATTGTTTACCTCTCAAGAAAATCTTTTAAATTTTGTTTAAAGTGTAGTCACTCCAGACAGCTAAGCCTGGAAAGCTTCCATGCTCTGAGTAAATAAAAAGGGAATCCTATTCTTCCCCAAAATGTGCCAGCCGAAATAAACACAGCTGCTTGGGGGTTGTGATTACAAGGGCTCAGTTCATACTGTTCTCTCCAATAACATGGTTCTCAATGGGAAGATGCTTTTCTGTGCTCCTCCTTGGTGGCCACCCCTTAGCTTTGTGCCATGCTCTGTATGTCTTCCTCTATCAGCCAGTAACAGTAGATTTTTGTTCCTTTGTTCCTGCAGGTGGCTTTGCTACGGGCCCATGCAGGGGAACATCTCTTACTGGGGGCAGCGAAACGCTCTATGGTGTTCAAAGACATCCTTCTGCTAGGTAAAGAGCTTCTCCCCTTAAAAGTTCAGTAGATTTTTCAATGTGGAGCATTTAAAAAAACAACAACACATATGCTGGCATTTGTTGGACTTCTTGTAGTGAAATCTTGTATGTTTATTTGGCAACATCCCACTTGCTAAAGGGGAATTATATCTAGCAAGCACATATAGTAGTGTTTCCAACCTCAGTAATTTCCAAGGTTTATGAACTTCAACTCTCAGAATTCCTCAGCCAGCTGGGAGTTGAAGTCCAATCTCTTGGCGTTGCTGAGCTTATGGGATTGTACTTTTCATCATCTGTTTTCACTTATCTGTTTTAATGAGTTTAGAGACAGGCAATGATTTTAAGAGAGTAACATGTACATTGAGAGGTATTACTTTCTGTTCTTTTCTTCTGCTGTCATCTCTGACTTTACAGTTTCTGAACCAAGATATCAGCTTGTTTATAGAAGTGAAAGAAGCCTATCTCTGTGGTATTAATTCCTATTCTCCGTTTTCTGTGTTTACAAACAAATGCCTAGCCTCTCTTTCCAGCTTGACATTTATTTGTTTGAAACTGGACTTTTTCAATGGAAGAAGAGATCCAGATGTTGTTCTTTAACTTTTAATGCTTTTGAGTTTTCCTGGTATTTCTTCTAATGAGCAAGTGGATTGATTGAACAATTTATTTAGCTTGCTAATGTGCTACTAGGAGCTGTTTTATCTCAGAGGCACAGCATTTAAAAACTGTTTTGTGGTGGAATTAAGAAATTGAGAAACGATTTTGTATGGGAAAGCCATTTATTGACAAGAAAAGTTGATCTGTAACAAATAATATAATACAAGCATCCTTAAGTTCTACAGGTAATCCTTGACTCATGACCACAATTGAGCAAAATTTCCATGGCTCAGCAAGGTAGTTGTTGAGTTTTGCCCAATTTTACAATCTTTTTTTGCCACATTGTTAAGACAATCACTACAATTTTTAAGTGAATCATGCAGTTATTAAGCGAATCTGGCTTCCCCCATTGACTTCAGTGGGAAGATTACAAATGGTGATCACATGACAATACAATTGCGATAAATACATGCTAGTTGCCAAGTGGCCAAATTTTGATCATGTGATTGTGAGGATGCTGCAACAGTCATAAGTGTGAAAAACGGCCAAAGTTGCTTTTTTATTGACATTGTAACTTTGAATGATCACTTAATGAATGGTTGTAAGTCAAAGATTACCTGTAGTTTACAATGATACTTGTTATGTCAGCAAAATAATTCTACAAGGACTTTATTAGTAATATAAACAAGTGATGTGTTACAACTATCTAATTATTGTGGTTTTGGTGTAAAGGAACTAATCCCCTGTGATTGGTAGTAATACTAATTTTAAATAGCTAGATAAGGAAAATAAAATATTTCCACCAGTTTAAACATTGAACTGAAACTGATTTTTAGGTGGAAAGGAAAAAAAAAGATCAATTGTTGTTATATTGATGGGTAGCAAATTATAGAATGTTCTGCATGCAAAGAATGAAGCAATTTGATTGAATGAGAATTTAAATAACCCCATTTTCCTTCAGGAAATGACCACATAATCCCCCGAAACTGCCCAGAATTGCTGGAAATCAGCCGCGTAGCTGTGCGAATTCTAGATGAGCTGGTGTTAACGTTTCAAGAGCTGCAGATTGATGATAATGAATACGCTTGCCTGAAAGCCATTATCTTCTTTGATCCAGGTAGATGCTATTTTTGAGCAATTAGAAAAGAAATATAAAAATACTTCCTTTAAAATTGCAGTCTCATAGCATTACTGAGGAATTTATTGCTCCAGACCAAGTCCTTAATACTGTTGTGCTATTTCATTCAATAATACCCTTCTCCAGAGTCAAAGCGTCCCAAAGCTTCTCAAAGTGTAGTTCCGAGATCCTTTCAGAGGGTCCAGAAAGTGAAATAAAAGTTAAATGACTTTACTGTTGTGGTGAGCTGCCCAAAGTTGTTAAAGATGGCTGTATGGAATAAATGCTTTAAATAAATCCATATTTTAAAAATTCAGTTTTAATATCTAATACAATAAATATTGGTGAGGATAACCCACATAAACCAAAGCCCTTAGAGGAAGGGATTCTTAAATCATTTTTAAGAATATAAGAGTGCTAGGATCAAAATGTTTAAGAATTGCTGTTCTAGATCAGTCTGCCCTGATACCCACCAGGTTTGTTGAAGTTCAGTTCCTATAACTCTTTACACACAGCTTTGGTCAAACTGTTACAACGACTATTCTCAACTAAGGATAATTTGGGAAGTATTTCCCCAAATAGCAACTTGGGAGATGAGCAACAAAAATCTTATTGTGTGGTCTTTGAATAAAGCATCTTAATCGTCCTAGCATCAGTTTGTGGCTTCACAGGAGATGGCTTTTCTTTAAGTTATTTCCTTTCAATATGGCATAACACTGCTGCACTATGATGAGTAATAGTAAAAGTGAGAGTGAGAAGCAAACATTACAGTAACAGATAGTTCTCATTTACCAACCACATTTGGAACCAGCATTGCAGTTGTAAACGAAATGTCAAATGACAATGCCCGACCTAAAGATCAGTTTGTCAGGCTGCATTCATTAAGCAAATCATCAGAAGTCATTAAGCATGATATCATATGGCCATGACTTGTGACTTCCTGTTGGCTTCCCACTGACTTTACTTGTCAGAAGCCATTTGTGAAAGTTGCAAATGGTGACCATGTAACCACAGGATGTTGTAACTGTCATAAATTGCAGTGATGTGGATGCTATAGCAATAGCACTTAGATTTATATACTGCTTCAGTGTTTTACAGCCCTCTCTAAATGTTTTACAGAATCAGCATATTTCCCCCAACAATTTTGGGTCCTCATTTTACCCACCTCAAAAGGATGAAAGGCTGAGTCAACCTTGAGCCTGGTGGGATTTGAACTGCCAAATTTCAGGCAGCTGACAATCAGCAGAAGTAGCCTGCAGTACTGCACTCTAACCACCGCAGCTCTTATGATGGCCACAGTTTTGAAGATTAGTGACAAGTCTCCTTTTTTAGCATCATCGTAGCTTTGAATGGTTGCTGAACCAGTGGTCAGAAAAAGAGGCTCACATGGAATTTAAATCTCGCAACTTCTACCAAAATAGAAACTCCGAGACAATCAAGAAGACTATTTGAAAGGACAATGAATAGGCACTTCATTGCTGACTCCTCTGTCTATGATCAAGAGCAAATAATAAGCCTCAGAAACATTTTATATTAATCACACTAAACACTTGCATACTATTTCACTTTAATTGCCACCAATCAGGTCTGTAAAAATGTGGGAGGAAATATAAAGAACACTGAATTGGCGCTTTGATGCCAGAAAGCTTTGTGTGAGGAAAAAAGATCACAATTCTAAAAAAAAAATCCATTGATGCGGTAATCCTGTCCCACAGTTTAATCCAAACCTAATCTATGTGGCATTGGTTTTATTCTGTCAGCCTCTAATAAATGAAATGGAAATGTCCACATGTAAAGGAAAAATGTTTCATGGCTGATGCAGGATTTATCCCTTCCCCAGCAGAGTTATACGACCAGGCTGTGACAGAAGGCCCAAAATAGTTTCTTCAGTGTTGTGTTTGGTGGTGCTCTTTCATAAACTGGAGTTGCTTGTGAAAGTTATTTCATAATGATAGTGCCCCTGTATTAATTTCTACCACACTTTACACTGTACCTGTGAAGTCGAACACTTTGGGGCCTAATTCCCTCACTCCTTACAATTGTCCATGCCCAACAGGATCTGATGGCCATTGGAAACAAAGGCTGTAACAGGGTCAAGAGTTTTCCAGCATTTGTTTTATGTAATCTGACTCATACTAATCATTTCCAAGGCAGAATATGGGAATAATGCACCCACAGCCTTTTCAGTCTCTAGTTTAGTGGCAGAATGCATGAATGCAAGTTCCAGACTCACACTCTTTCAACTTCAAATGTTCTAGGGAAATTCCTGCCTGAAACTTTGGATTACTGCTTCCAATCAGGGTCAGCAATATTGGGCTAGATGGATGAGTAACCTAAACTATTTAAGATATTAGCTAATAACTTTTAAAGAACAATGTTCCACAAGAAACTACCCCAGGTTTTTTTGAACCAGGGCTCCTCACTCTTCAATATCTGTCCTTGAAAATTGGCATAATATACTGTATAACATCTCATCTTTTATTCCAGATGCTAAAGGTCTAAGTGATCCTATCAAGATCAAACGAATGCGATATCAAGTTCAGGTCAGCCTGGAGGACTACATCAATGACCGGCAATATGACTCACGAGGACGCTTTGGGGAGCTGTTACTTCTCCTGCCCACCCTCCAAAGCATCACATGGCAGATGATTGAGCAAATCCAATTTGTTAAACTGTTTGGCATGGCCAAAATTGACAACCTGTTACAAGAGATGCTGCTTGGAGGTGAATATTGTCACAGAAACTTTCCTGAAATTAGGCACCAGAACTTTTGCCCCTAGAATGATAGACAAGTGCTGAACCTCACTTCAGTTAACAGAAGAAAAATAAAATCGACAATTCACCTTGTTTGAGAGATGTCTATTGAGATTCTCAGTCATCCAGGTCATGGTTGTCCCAAAGGTGTTTTTTCAAGAGGCAACTAGACTTTCTGGTTTTCTTCTGAAGACATTTTACTTCTTATCCAAGAAGCTTCTTCAGCTCTGAAGAACCTTTTTGGATGAGAAGCGAAATGTCTTCAAAGAAAAACCATAAAATCCATAAAAAAAAGCACCTTTGGGACATCTTGTTTGAAAGTTTGATCTTCCTCCTGAAGCAAGATTTCTGCTTATCCTTTTTTTTTAATTTAGTGGCCATATTTTGCAATTCAAGTACAGTAAAGGGATTTTTTATGAATACTTTTTTCATGCTTCCAAAATTTCAGTGGCCTGTTTGAAAAAAATGACACATTTGAGAAATACTCAATTTGAGATTTTCTATCAGACAATGTATGTGTTGGCTTGCTCAGTTTCATTAATACAAGAAATCTGTGTCTGTAACTAAGCCGAGGACATGTTAGATCTGAGACCAAACTTTCTCAACTAGCATCTTCCAGATATATTGGTTTTATAGACTGTGTGAGAGTGTCAGATTTTTTACAGAAAAGAACTTGGTAAAATGAGTGTCTTCAGCCTCTACAAAGCAGCTGAAGAACAGCTAACAAGGGTATGACTTGAAGTAGTAAAGTGTGGGTCACAATCAGGGAGACTTGCACATCTCTTACACCTTTCCAGATACCCCAAAGCTATAGCCCAACTTTCCATCAAATTCTAAATTGCCCAGGACATACTGTAAACGTAAACTATTGCATATTTTTTCCCACAAAGATATAATTGAGTAAAATGGGAAACAATAGTATTTGATTAGTTAGGATTAATTTTGATTCTTCCAAAATGCATCTCTCTGATTTGGGCTTCACCTGTTCATGCTTCTGCTATTAATCAATAGAACAATTTAAGTCTAGGCTAGAAAGTCAGGAGGTAAAACCTGATCTATTCCCTGTCCAAATGGTTATTGACACCAAGATCATTTCAAAGATTAGAATAGGATATAATTTTCTACACTGAATATTGTCCAATACTTAGATTCCTATTCATCATTTTAGGGTCATCAAGTGACACACCTCATGCTCACCATCATCCTCTGCATCCCCACCTTATCCAGGAGAATTTGGGAACAAATGTCATTGTGGCCAACACAATGCCTCCTCAGATCCATAATGGACAACTGTGTAAGTATTCACACTTTAAAAATCCCTCTGTCTGAGAATGCTATATTTGTTCCCAGTTACAGTAAACCAATCTAGCAGTCAAAAGTATGTAAAAATGCAAGTAGAAAAATAGGGACCACTTTGGTGGGAAGTGACAACGTTCCGGGTGCCTTCGGCATTTAATCATGCTGGCCACATGACCACAGAGACGTCTTCAAACAGCGCTGGCTCTTTGGCTTTGTAACAGAGATGAGCACCGTCCCCTAGAGCAGGAAATGATTAGCATGTATGTACGAGGGGAACCTTTACTTTTACCTTACAGTAAAGCTTTACTGTATACCTCCCAATTACATTTCATTTCTATAGACCAAAGTGAATGATAATTGTGGGAAATGAAGTCTAACATTTCTGAAAGACATCATCTGGAAGAAAACTACACTATCTACCATAGTAGCAGCTCCTCATAAATACTAAAGAGCATCAGATGTATTGTTTTATTATTTGAGGGCTATATGCTATTACTGTTTCCATAAGAAAAGTACCCACAGAGCTTCTTCCATTTCCTTATCATGTAAGGAGGCCATGGTAGTTGTGCCCTTTTTCAGATTTTTTTTTATCCCTCCTTACATTTTTTTTACAAATAACTCAAGGTGGCAAACATATCTACTACTCCCTTTTCTTCTTAGTTTTCCCACAACAACCCACCCTGTGAAATTAATTGGGCTGGAAAAGAGTGACTGCCCCAAAATTAAGCCAGCTTTCATACCTAAGGTGGGACTAGAATTCAGTCTCCTGGTTTCTAGCCTGGTGCCTTAACCACCAGATCAAATTAGTTCTTTGACCAATTTGCTCTCTGTAACCAATATGCCTACCATTTATGGCTCTATAGAGATTAAGGGAGCTGCAAGACTTGTTAAGAGAACTGAAGCATTCTTGAATGCTTTGCTGATCAAAAGACCCTGGGGTTACTTAAATTCTGCCCACAGCTAAATCAGAGCCTTGCCAGAGATAAAATTAAAACTAAGTTGATCTGCTTTTATTTGTCAAAAATATTAAGTGTATAGAAATTTCAACAGTGCTATATCTGCCTGATATATTTAATCTGCAGTTTCCATCTACTGTAGACTCGTGGCTGAAACACCAGCTTATTTTTGGGATTTTCTGCTTCTTGCAATATCTTGGATGATGAACAATCCTGAAGAACCTGAAAGCTTGCATGCTTTTTCCTACAATTTTCATTGCAATAAAGAAATGTTGTCATATTACATACAATAAGTTAGATTTTTTCCCATGATTGGTACATTGCAGAATGTACCTCTGAATTAAAATATATAGCAAATGTCTACAGGTAGTCCATGACTTATAACAGCTCATTTAGTGACTATTTGAAGTTAGACAGTGAAAAAAGTGACTTATGGCTGGTTTTTTTCTTTCATATTTATGACCATTGCAGCATCCCCATGGCCACCAGATCAAAATTCAGTTGATTGGCAACTGATTCATATTTATGATAGTTGCAGTGTCCCAGGGTCATGTTATCCCTGTTATGGTTCAAGCAGTTACTCCAATTAAATCATGAGCCTCGAGCCACACTCCCCAAACTGAAGACGATTTATTTGAAGCTGCCATTCTACCTCCAGCACTAACCTGGGCAAAGCCAACTCTGAGATACATAATTTACTGTCACCCATGATCCTGCTTTTCCCCGCACCCCTCTGGGTGTATCATCCAACAAAAAACGTCCATAGCCAAGAGTCCTCAATCATGCTCTCCAATTAGATTTTTTCGCAGCAGAAGCTTCAGTCATCTAATCAGTCTTTGAAGAAAATATGAATGGAATGTACTTTCAATTCCACACTGCTCTTTGAAACTCCCCCCTTCTTTCTGTTGTCAACTATAAAACATGTATACAAAATGTTTTGAGTTGACAATCCCTTTTTGTTATCTTCTGACAAATAAAATTAATGGGGAAGTCAGATTCATTTAACCACCATGTTACTTCACTTAACAACTATGGCAAGAAAGGTGATAAAATGAGACAAATTTCACTTAGCAACAGAAATTTGGGGCTCAATTGTGGTCATAAGTTGAGGACTACCTGTACATGAAAAATAGCTGTGCCTTAATTACTTCTGTTCAGTGTAACAATGTGTTTTGTAACAAAGCTTTTCTTCCCGTAGCCACTCCTGAAACTCCCCAACCTTCTCCCCCAGCTGGCTCTGGAGCTGAACAATACAAACTGCTTCCGGGGGCCATCGCAACTGTAGCCAAGCAGCCCAGTTCGATCCCTCAGCCCACCATCACAAAGCAGGAGGTCATCTAGCATCCAACCGAATGAGGAACCGAGGACTCATAGACCGCTGTGTGGAGAAACAAACCTCCCCCGTTCTCATCTCAATCACTCTAGTGGTCGAACAATTGATGGAGCTTTTCCAGGGCAAAAATGTGCTATTTTTTTTTATTCGGAAATTACACAGGGGGGAAAAAATAAAAAGTGATCTTCACATATGCAGCTGTGACTGAATGCTGCAGAACTTACAGATTGGCCTCAGTGGACGCTTTACCCTTTGCAAAGAGAACCAGATGTCAAACTGTAGATCTGTTGGTGGCTGTTCCAAAAATTGCACTGACTTGCCTGTTTTGCCACTGCCTTCTTTTCCCCCCTCTCCCTGTTTCTCTACAAAACTGCCTTTTTTTTTTTTTTTTAAGGCAGCTGACCGGAAAAGATAGAAAAAAAAACCAAGCCCCATGACTGGAGCATCTCCAAACAGTCCTTTCTGTGACATTATGGGTTACACATTTCCAGAGTCTTGATCCTTACAGGAAGAAGACAAAGATGCGGAGACTCTGAACTTGTTGAAGCTGAAGCATACATACCGTTTGTACTGCCTGCCAAAATGCCTTGGGAGAAATACTACAAGTAAAATATAGACTCATATGCTTCCACTGGCTCTAGCAGTTTATAATGTTGAATGATGAAGATTTGCTCTCTTTAAGCACAATTGTTGCATATGCTACTGATATTTTGTCCATCTGGTAAATTAATAGCTTCTTTGGGGAAGCACCCTCATGCTGAACAAAGTATGGCCTTGCTGCATCTAGTTAACATTTTTTCCGCACTGTACCTCTTAGCTTCTTTGTTGACTTCAGGATCTATCACTCAAGACCACTGCCTCTGCTTATGAAGATTTTGTGACTAACAGACATTGACAGACCATTCCTTTGTGCCTTTGTTTAATGCCACATTCCCCAACCTTTCCAGGTTGTCGGCCTGGCACCGGGGGAGGGGGGAGGGAAAGAATGGTTTTACATGATGGGCAGGTGTGCACATACATGTGCACAGCTTCATTCGTGTGAGCGGTGAGTGCGCTCACACGAGTGGGACTGCAAGTGCCAGTGCCCACCACTCAGGCAAATGGGGCTGTGAACCCCAGAGCTTGCTGCTCACGCAAGTAGAACTGCACATGAATAGAGGTGCATGTTTGCGCACCGCTGGCATGGCCTGGTTCCAAATGGGCCACCGTTCCAAAAGGGCTGTAGCCTAAGGATTGGGGTCCCTGGTCTAATGGGTTTTGAGAGCACAAGATTTGTGCCATTTGCTAGCAGGGAAAAGAGGGAGAGCATGCCTCTGTGAAAGTGCTCTGCTGGATCTGGGACTCCCCTTTTTCTGCCCAAGAGAATCCCTTTCAGTTCTACTCAAGAAAAAAACTGGATCCAAATGGAATTTAGTGATGATGGAAGGGGATTGGCAAGGATTGGTCAGAAAGCTTCAGGGAACATCCTATCACATGAGCAAAGTTCCTTCCTATTTACAATGAAGGGACAATAATGAACCTGCACCTGATCTTAGCACTGCCAAACAGGTTGGACTCTAGATGGACCGACTTCACTTCTTTACCAGAATTTGCAGTTTACAGAAATGGTTCTGTAGCAAGTCCTAAGGACATACTTGGATTGTTATGACATCCACCCAAAGTTTTCTTATAGCTGACAGCCTTCCACAGGGCGCAGACATAGACCCTGGAATGATTCCTTCCTCAGTTATCATCATTTAACAAACCAGGATATGGCATTTAGGAGTTAAAGAAGCTGAAAAAGAAGTAAAGCCACTCAGATCTTAAGAGCCCCATGATTTGCTTCAGATTATCTTAGGAGATCAGTAATCAAATTATTCTTTAGCCATTTCAGTTTCTTGTAAAATTGTAGGCTTAATTCACATGATAATTCTAAAGAAGCCATAATGTAATTCCACTGTGTTTTCAGTGTTTACCTGGTAAAACTGGACTGGGGATGAATTCAGACTTACAGAATATTATTGTATAGTTTAAATAATATGCTACCCTTAGATCCGCCAACTGAAGCTTGATTTCAAACATACACACTTAGATTAAAAAATCCTAAACCAAGTTGCTTTGAGTACCGGTGTCAAACTGTGTTCAGGTTTTTTTTTTTATACAAAACTATTCCAATCTATTTTATTAACTTGATTCCCTCCAGATTTATTGAAACTGCCAGAATTCCTAATCAGTCTTCTGGGAGTTGCCATCTAACATGTCTGGAGGGCTCCAAGTTGGGGAAGGCACTCCAAAGTTCCATCATTTTAGTAATGTAACAGGAGGGGGCTGTTTGGAAGGTTTTGCTTTGTGCCTTCAAGACAGTTTTGACTCCTGGCAACTCCCTGGACAAATTCCTGCAGTTTTCTTGGCAAGACTTTTTGGAAGTGGTTTGCCATTGCCTCCTTTGTAGGTTTGAGAGAGAGTGACAGGCCCAAAGTCACTAAGGTGGGACCAGAAATACAACCTCCTGGTTTCTAACCTGATGCCTTAAGCACTACACCAAATTGGCTTTGGATATTACTATTGTTCTGTTTGAAGTTCCAAAATACTGCATATTCCCTTATTCTGAACACTACACTGGGATTAAGCAGATCCTGACCACAACCTCATTAGTGTCCTATCATCCCATGTGAGTTGAGAAGCCATTCCATGCTCTACTGATGTGCAGTAGTGTGTTTCTTCGTAAGGCTTCAGACTAATGGTGTATTGAATCAGCTTTCTCTTCCAATTAGTGTTAGCTACCTTGAGTTTTTGAATAGTATTTCCTAGCCCTGCTGTCCTTAAAGCATCTAGGCCCAGATCCTTCTGTGTGTAAAGTACAGTACATGCTCAGATATAAGGTGTTGCCAAAGGTAAACATCTTCTTGGACCTGGTGACTTCATGAACATATTTATCTATAGTAATTTTTTTCTGCTCCCTCAGTGAAGCCTACAGCCTAAATGTTGCTTGATGTGCTTTATTCAAACATCAATCAAGCCTACTCTGCTTAGCTTTTCAAGATCAGCTGAAGTCAACTAAGAGCTGCTAAGAGTAGACCTCCTACTTTAGTTCAACTGTATTATGGAAATTTGCTTAAAATTCTAATACATTTTTTAAAGAAGTATACAACTCCTCAGAATTGTTGGGAAGACATTGGTAAGGGGCATGCAGAAGTAGTAACTACAGTTCTTGCTTTTCAAAAATAGAAGGATAATTTGGAGAAACACTTATTTATGATGAACACAAATATATTTTGTAGAGTCATCTCTTTGTCAGCATGTAAAGGATAGCCAAAGTAATCCCTGCTAAAAAGGGCTCAAGTCAGATTCTTACTGGAAATAAGCCAATTTACTGGTAATCTACCATCATTTTATAGGCTGCTGCTTAACATCTAGTCCTTTTATGACAGATTCAAAAGTAAACACCCTGCCAGTCCCTCGTCATTGTCTAAGTATTGTAATGTTTGCCGAACACAAGCCTGTTATGCTATGTAATTTATTATAATGATGGGCTGAATAATTTTTCTTTAAATTATTGTGTAAATAATATTGATTCCATGAAATCATAACATTTTATATGAACAATGTAAATTACAAGACTGCTTCTCCAACCGCAGCAATGTTTTATGTATCAAAGTTGGAGAAAGTTATTTTTGATGTAGATTTGCTACATGTCATCTTCTAGGACTGTATGTTCATTTTCATTGACTACTGCCTTCCAATGGAAACAGCTATATTTCTTTATTCGTGTTTTAAAAAAAAATAAATACAAAAATCTTTTCTAACCATTCACAAACAGATGTTATTTCTAAGATGATGAAAGCAAATCAATTAATGCCAAATACAAGGATTTTAGTTCCTTTATATTTCTTTACCTTTAGTCAGTATAGCATAGTGGAATTATGGAGAAATAGGCTAGATTGACACATGTCAAGAGCACTTAATTTAGCCATGGGGTTCCAAACAAACCACAGTTGGCTAGAGTCATCTATGGTCAAATCAAAAACATTTTATGGGATTACGAAGTGGGTTGCTTAGCATGTATAAATGAAGCATAAACTTATGTAAAGATCATTTGTGTAATTTGCACGTATACATATTCATGTTATTCAAGGCTGTAACATTTGAAATATGTAACGTATACATTCAAAAGTTATAGGTTAAAAAAGTCTCAAGGGGTATTCCTTATTTATAAGAAAAATATCACCAATGCTCCAAATAGTCAGGTAACAGATTTTGCATGCTCTTAAAGGTGTTTTTAATACTAATGCTGAAGCTTCATCACACATTTGCTGTGTTGGAGAACAAGATCCAAGTGCTAGACCTGTCTCATCTAAAAAGATTTATCTCTTTAATCACTCATAAAAGTGATTTTCTCATGGGAAGATTTATATAGTCAATTAAAAGTCATATGTGGAAATCTGAGACATCGTCTAAGATTTCTAACAGTCTACAAGTGGTATGTGCACTCAGCCACTTGTACCCTGGTAATCTCTGATCTGAATTACTGCAATGCATGCTACATTGGGTATCCTTGAAAAATATCCAGAAGCTACAATTGGTTCAGAATAAGCACACAATTCTGGGGGCCCCTAGACATGTAACACCACTGTTATACGAACTGTACTGATTACCAATCTGCTTTCAAATCTAATTCAAGCTGTTGGTTATCATCTTTAAAGCCCTTTATGGCATGGGTCCAGAATATCTAAGAAACTGTCTTGTCCTGATTTGAATGGCCTGTCTTACTTGTTCTGGCAGAAGGGGCCCACTGCAGACCCCGTCAGCTAAGGAATTTCAGGTGGTAAGTTCTAGGAGAAGAGCCTTTTCTGCAGTGGCCCCCTACTATGTGGAAATCTTGCTGCCAGAGGTGAGAACCTCACACACCTTTCTGGTCCTCTAAATGGGCCTTTAAGCCTCACTTTGCCAGTTAGCATGGGGTCCAGTGGAAATGCTTTAGAATGGAGGTGGTTGGTGCAGCGGCAGAAAAGACACCTGCTCCGTTTGAACCTTCGGTTGTTAGACTGCATTTGATTTTTGAAATTTAAATTCTTTTTATATTTCTATTTTTATTACATTGTACGCTGCCTAGATTGATTTGGACAGTGAGTTAAACAGCATATAAAATAAATCAATAAAATAAAATGTGTAGGACTAATTGCTTCAACTTTAGCTAGAGCCACTAAATTCCAGGTAACCCTTACCATACGACCGCAACTGAGCCCAAACTTTATGTTGCTAAGCAAGACAGTTGTTAAGTGAATTTTGCCCCATTTTATGACTCTTCTTTCCACAGCTGTTAAGTGAATCACTGCAGTTGTTAAGTTAGTAACATG